ATAAAATACTAATGAAAGAAGAAAGAACTCAAATGATATACTCCTGTATAAAATACAGAATAATGAATAAAACAAATAAAACTATTTTGAATAATATCAGTATTTTAATATTTAATGTTATATTCTTTTTAAATCAAATACAACTTTTAAAAAATTCAAGAAAAAAACAAGAAAAGACTAATTCTACACAAATGAAATACAATCAACAAACAGTGTGTAAAACAATTATTCAACACTTTTATTCATTTATTTTATCATATTTTGAAATGATGTTTATATTACATTCTTTTATATTAATTTCTAATAACATGACAATGAAATGAATAATAATAATAATAAGATAATAATTATGATAAATGAACAGCAATGAATAATGAAGAAAACTAGATTCAAAGAATATATTTGTAATATATTTCATGAAATATAATATAGTAATTGAAGTATCAAATAAAAGAATACAATGTTGTAATAAACAAAAATGTAAATGAACAAAAAAATATAATTATTAATATATTAATGATGTATTTAAAATGATGGTATTGATTAATTCTTGTCTATTAAACAAAGTATGAAATATAAACCATAAAACAAATTAATAAATATGTTTAGTATAACCGACGAAATAACTAAATAATCTATAATGAATTAAAATCAACATTATTTCTCTTATTCATGATTTTAAATTATTTGCTCAATTATAATAATAATATTATATCTTTATAAACATCAATCTATTTCAAAATATCATTTTTCTATTTTTCATAAACAATTTCTTTATAAAATCATTTAGCCACATCTCATTTTATTCATTTATCGAAGTATTAATGTTTTTAATTGTTGATTGATATTTAGTAATAAAAACATAAATAAACTTTTAATAATAATCATATTTTTAAATCAAGTTAATATTTAACGTATTGACAACACTAAGAAAATATATATCAAGAAAAATAATGTGTTTAATAGTATACCACACTCAAGAACAAAGAAGAATTATAAATTTAATATGGTTCTTCCTATTAGTTTTAATAAGAATATAACATATATAATAACTATTATAAGTGAGTTATAAGAAGCTATTTAAATTAAATTAAAGAATATTTAAAGAACGTACCAATTAACAAACACATTCTATTTAACTGGGTATAATGATGAAGTGTCTAACAACACTTAACTTAAATAACAATACGTTAATTCAATAGAAACAATTTCAACAATATTTATATATAAATGAATGATATATAAACAGAAATAAATAGAAATATTAAAATAAAAGAAGTTATTAAATAATATGGTTATTTCATTGTAGCATCTATCCTTCAAATGAAAAACATTGAGCCAATAAAATGAAAGCATATTAACTGAAATAAAAAAAAAACAATAATAACTTTAATGAAGGGGTATTTTGTTCAAAAAATTGAAGAAGATTAGTACAAAGAATAATATTATTAGAAAAACAAAATTATTTCATCTAAACCATAAATAAATAATACATTACAAGTGCTCAATGATATAATTATTAAAAGAGTATTTAAACAACAACATAAATATTAATAAAATGAGTTATTCATATACCATTTAATAATAAAACTATGAACAAATAAATTATATTAGAAAGTAAAAAATGTCATTTTTGAATCAAAACACATTAAATCATTTGAAATATACATCTTGATTATACATAATTTAATTTTGTTGTATTTTATTCTTTATTTCAAAACATAAATATTCTATTACGAGATATTTTGTTATGTTATGTGTTTATTTTATCAAAAAGGTGTTGTATTAAAAAGAAGGAATGAGTATTTGAATCAAAGGCTGAAAGAAAGAAACATTGGTATGATTCTCAAAACGGAAATCAATAAAGACACATATAACACAAATAATTATTTTTGTTATATTTGAAGTATATAAAATTGTTTTACACTCAGAATGAACTTGAAATGGAACTTTGATAAAAACATTTAATAAAATGGATTTAGACTCACTTGAAATTGCATCTAATGTAAAACAATTTGTGTTAGAACCATTATCAGATAAAGAACTTGGACTTATTAAGAAAGTCAATGAATTAATTCATGGATCACCAACAGATATTAATAGAGGATATCAATTTTTACATGACGGAATAACCCGTCCACCATTTGTACAATTACTACTCAAAGTAAACCCAGCAATGTATCTCTATCCACTTCAAACTAAACCCATTGGTGATTGTACTTCGATTATCAATTTATTATTAAGTTTTATCTATCAAATGCTTCAAACTGTACCTATTGAATACAGTGATTTATTAATGAATCCAAAGACTAATTTAGCAATGTCATTTAGTATGTTATTAAGTGACCACACATTAATCGGAACACACCAACTTGCATTAGAAGTATTAAACCAATTACCTGTCAATGAGACATTAATTGAACTTATTGAGCCATTATGTAAATTAACTACAACCCAATATATCTCTCTTAGTGTTCAATTATTAAAAAGGATTCTAACAACAAAAGAAACTTCAAATTGTTTTATTCAATTTAAATGTATGAAATACATCAATTTAGCTTTATTTACTCCTAACTCTAATGAGAAAATGTCACTCATTGAAGTACTTACTGCCTTGTTTAAAGGATGTGATGATTCTTCCAGAGTTACAATTGCCAAAGAAGCTATTGACAATGATATACTAAAACATGGATATTCCATTCTTACATGTGGGTCATTAGAAATGAAGACAACATTCATTAAATTCATTGTCCATTTATCATATGCAGAAGAGGTACAAGAAGATATAATTAAAAGTGGAGTTCTTCCTTTGGTGATACCGTTATTAGCTGAACAAGACATCAAAACAATCACTTCAATTATATTATTG